GTGTATAATATGCACTCTTGTGTTATATGCACTCTTAATTATGGGCAATTAAATTCTGGAAAAATATATCTGTCGTGTATAAACATTTCAGGCTGTCAGCATAAACCACGAAATTAACGATCTTTCAACTCTTTTTTTCACCAAAATAATATTCCAATAAGAGCCCGCTTTTTCTAATTTTGAGAGCGCCCTGGGCGCTTATTACATCAAATACGGTAAATCAGTATATATAGACCTGAAAAGACATACAGGTAAAGGTGAGATTGTGTTTAACGTTGCGTCCAAGATTATTGCACTTACAGTTATATAGCGATGTGCATGCACGTGTGTGTGTGTGTGTGTGTGTGTGTGTGTGTGTGTGTGTGTGTGTGTGTGTGTGTGTGTGTGTGTGTGTGTGTGTGTGTGTGTGTGTGTCTGCTTGTACTAGTCTGGACTGAGGCAGATTTATAGTGCTAGCTCACTGAGATACCATGCCGCAGTTTAACATGAACATCCCACTCAGACACAGTAAACCAACTTAATGCCGTACGCCAGACAGGGAAACAACAACTACCATATTTTAACGTCTTTTGGTATGACACAGCCAGGGATGGAACCCTCGGTCCACGAGGCAATGGCTTAAATGGGTATTTACTTTTTAAAAACTTTCATGCATTTTAATACACAAGCAGCTCAAAATTAAGTGGGTTATGGAGAATAATTTTGCATACTTTACATAAATATGCAGCTTATTTGGAGCACAGATATACATGCAGTGTGTGACTTTAACCACCGAAACCAAATCTTGTAAAATTCTGTTTAGTCTAGTTAGCTCAGTAAAAATAGTCCATATGATAATACTAAACTCTACTGAAACTGATGGTTAGAGCCATGTTCTGGCTAGCAGACTTGAAACATTCTTGCACAGACTGCAAATGACTCAAAATGAATATGAATCAAAGAGCCCCTTCAAGTCCTTCTCCGGGATAGAAATTATGTTAGGTCTTCAATGAATTATGCAAGACTAGGCAGGGTGTGAAGTGGATTTAACGCTCCCTTGAACCGATTTTAGTTACATCACAGCATGACAGCTTAATGCGTAAGAACAGGCCAAAGTGATGCTGGTCCTGCATCTATGATGCATGTTCACAACTTGGTACCCCTTTACATGTCGGGGCTGGTGTAGACTTGCACAAGTCTCTAAGGCAATAATTATTATCTTAAATCATAATTTCTAGATTATGTAAACAAGATGTCCCTAAAAGAGACTGGGGTCTACATATCTAGACTTGCCTATTAGGATAGAATTACTAAACATCCATGGACTTTTCTTTCAATACAGCCTTGGAGCAAGGCTAGGGCTGGTGTTGCAGGAAGTGTGTGAGAATACATCATGTACAGCGAGAGTGTGATGAGAGTCTCCATCTCCACAGCTCTTGTCAGACACGACTTTTTCTCGGACTGAGTGTGTGATGAGTTTTCAGGGCTGTGGCTGAGGGTGCTACAGGTGCAACGTTCCGCTCCATGTGTGGAGATGGCGATGTTGCTGTGCACTGATCCACGTGTCAGGCTTCAATGTATTGCCAAAAACAGCTGTTTCATCACATATCAAATTTATCTTAAAGTTTCTTTCGAGATAACAGACTCCAAATCATGTAGAAGTTTTAGCAAAGCCTTGACAGGGATTGAAATCTTTTTATGAGTGGAAACTTTTAGACCTGTGACAATGTATTACACCTCAAACAATTTTCACATCAGCATGATATTACCGTATTCGACGTAATAAGCGCCCCGCTCTGATAAGCGCCCACAGCGATATTTGCTAATATATTGGCAAGTGAACAATCCCAATTAGCATCCCTTCCGATTGATTAATGTACACAAGACTTATTTATTTGTGTATAATACGCACTCGTGTGTTATATGCACCCTTAATTATGGGCAATTAAATTCATGAAAAATATATCTGTCGTATATAAACAGTTCAGACCGTCAGCATAAACCACGAAATGTATCTTTCAACTCTTTTTTTTCCACCAAAATAATATTCTAATAAGAGCGCCCTATTTCTAATTTGAGAGCACCCTGGGCGCTTATTACGTCGAATACGGTAAGCAGTGTTTGCAATTAAGGGGGTCACATGGGTCCTTGAGATTTGCCCCTGTAGAAGAAGAATCTAGAGACTGCCTTAATCATCACCCCTTGATTTCATGTTCAGGGCTCCAGATAAGTTTTTAAGCCATCGGGTTACTCACATGTTATCATTCACACTGGGTATTTGATCGTTTTCTTGGGACATTCAATACATTTTTTTCTTGGATGCTGTCTATTGGGTATTTTTAAACTGATGGATGGAATTTCTTTAAAGATAATTCTTCCTCAAGATGCTTTTTCAGGTAACTTCTTTTCTTCTCTTCATGTGCTGCCCCAGTGTTGTGTAAGCTCACTACAGCGTTACGTCACAGTAGCAATAAGCAAGAATTAGCCCTATTGTGCATTATTCACTGCATCAGAGTTTATATAGGTGATGCCTGCATTCAACAACAATAATAATGACATGTGCATTAATAATATGCCAAATTCCAGGCACCAAGTCATAGCGCTACACCACTATTACCCCGGTCAATGGATCAGTATGCACTTGATTTTCATTCTCAGCTCCTTGGGGAGTATACAACCCAAGCTGCCTGTGAAGCTCCAGAAGGTCAACATGTGCCCCTGTGTGGGTCAGGACCGAAACCTTGAAACTCTCAGGAGCCAAGCTGCTGAACACGGTCACCCATCCAAGGACTCTCCATGACCAACATTTCTTAACTTCACCTCATTTGTGGCCCGTGACTACGTGCCACCATCAAACAGTAGATATTGATGTGTACATATATTTAGAGAGCCTACTTTATGGAATTACAGTGTAATATTATTTGTTTTGGGTTTTGTATACAAGCAGCTCAAAATTTATCGGGTCATTTGGATGTATTTTGTGGCTTTTTTAGAGCTCTTCACTCAAACGAACAAATAAATAGAATATTTCATGACTGAAAAGGAAATTCTTCAACATGCTCCATCATGAAATACTAGGTAAGAATAACAAGAATAGCTCTGACATGAAAGTTGGAAATAAAGATGCAAATATTTGAGTAAAACTGTTTCAAATTGCCATATAAGGCCTGAGTCATCGTCACCTGAAGATTCAACCCTGAGTATTTTGGGTGAGCTAGCCGTAAAGTTCAAAAACCTGGCCTTAAAGTTCATAAACCTGGCCTTAAAAACGGCCCATGGTTTTCTCAGGTAATAAATCAATTAACAGTGTCTGAGATTCCGGGTCCTGGGGTGCTTGAGGTCTGCTTGGGTATCCAATGATCGGATTCTGAAGCTTTTGACGACATGGCCAGTGTAACTTTGTATCACCAATGGGCAATGTTTGTATGTATTTCGTTTTATGCCGCACTCAGCAATATTCCTGTTGTATGACAGAAGTCTGTAAATACTTGAGTCTGGACAAGACAAATCCAGTGATTGATATTGTGAGCAACGATCCACGTCATCAGAGCACTAGAAGTGTAACGATATGGTGGAGTTGCAAACCTATGGGTATGATCCGATTGGTATTCTGATACAGTACTTTTATGTCATGAGTTGATTCTTTGTTTTTGCAGGTGAATCTTTTTTTTTAAATTTCAGAGATTGATGATAGGATGTTGGAGGGATGAAACATAGCCTAGAGGGCATTGTGAATGTTATGCTATTTATAGACAACTGGGAAATACGGGAGAATGTGTGTAAAGCTGGTTGTTGAAGAGTTTCATTTACTTTTTTATATCTAATTTTTCACGTTTTTACACCAAAATAACATGTAATGTAACGTAACGTACTTTATATGGCACATATCGCAATATAGGGATCATATTGTATCATTGGCATGGAATCAGGATACAACTTTTAACAAGCACCTACTAACATTCCTGATTCATTTTGAACACTCCTCTGGTGTACTTAGTATATTCTGAACATAAGTCATGAATAAACAATTGACTTTAGAGAGAGGTAAAATGTAACATATGATACACAGTCGAGCCTTGTTATCTCAGATACCGTTATCTCGATGTACCGATATCTGGAGCCAATTCTTCGGTCCCGACTGCCTCACTGCATCTCTATCATGCCTCGTTATCACGAATGTCCCGATATCACGAAGTTACAGCATGGTTCTTATAAGTTCAAGATAATGGGGTTCGACTGTAAGGGATTACACTTTCTTACTAAAGTTTAAATTCTAGTACTTTTGGGGGGTGAAGCTCGATTCAGGTTTCAAAACCCACACTCTCAAGATAAGGCACCTAGTTGCCAGGAAACATATGCCACAGCACAAAAAAATCATAGATATTTCGGATAGTCTTGATTCATGCACCTCTCACCATCTAGGTATTGTGTTAGTTGTGGCAAAATTTGTCAACCAATGTTTTCAGCCTCTCTGTCAAGCCTATTTATCACAAGGCTTAGGGGTGTCATGGTGTAGCATCAATATCCCACAAAAACAGAAAGTCAATGGTGTGTATCCAATTCTTTAACAATACTGTGACAATCAGCGGGTAATAAAACCATGATTGATGTGGCTAGAAGCTCATTACGACATCCAGAGCTCGCAGGCTTCTATCTCCCCATTTCAAGATTCCGTCTCCATGTTTCAGTAGCGTTCATAGTTGCCCCAAATAACAAGTTGGTAGGAGCATGATGTCACGCATGAACAGCCACACCTTAGGAATGTGTATCCAAACTGACGTAAGGCAAAGAAACAACAGGATTATAAATTATGCTATGAAGTGAGATGACACACTTTTGTGGCAATCGCACCGCACGACAGTTAGCACATCTGTCAATGACGAAACGACCAGGATCATGTTTACATTCAGGACATCACTGCCCCTTGACCTTTCGAGAAGTATGCAAAATGTCTATTGTGTCAGTCATGTCCTGTCGCTCTTGTGCATCTGTGTAGCGAGATAAGAATGGTTGTTACTCACCGAGATCGTCCATGACTCGCTGCTGTTTACTACTCCCGCTACTGACGCTTGAGCTTTGCATCAACCTACAAACTTCGCGAGACTTCCGCAGGATACGGTCAGTTCGAGGGGGAAGGGCGAACGCTACCGTGTCAGCGCGGCACAGTGCAAGCCCGCCGCCGGCGTTTAAAGGCGTGGGACTCACGCAACTTCCGAAAAGTTCTTAGAAACGTCAACGAACGAGATCAGAGAACAATCAAGAAGTAGTCTAGAGTTTCTCAAAGTCCATATCCGCCATGTTTGTGTTGCGGTGCTTGACACTATTTTCATGAAAACTATCTTTGATAACATTTCGATGCGAGTCGTCAGTTGATTTTAACTTTTATATATGCAAATAATTTTTGTAATAACCCCACGAATACTTCGCAAATATAATTATACTAAAAATGTACAAATATACATTCATTTCACCATAATTCTCAAAATCATATCACTTTAAATGTAAGGAATGCTCAAATCAAAGAGAAATACTATAGATCTCTATACAACTTTAAAAATCCAGTTGACACTTCCTGTTGACGCGGATCCACCCCCTCTATAACATCTGATGACATGTTGTTTGCGCATGTCCTACCATTGATTCGTTTGGTTTGTGAACTATGTGATTTTTTGCAATATATATATATATATATATATAGAGAGAGAGAGAGAGAGAGAGAGAGAGAGAGAGAGAGAGAGAGAGAGAGAGAGAGAGATATTGCGAGGTGGGACAGTTTATAGCCACAAATCCCCTCCGCTTCAGGATAGAGTGTATTGAGTGATATGCATTTACGCCGCTTTTAGCAATATTCCAGCAATATCACGGCGGGGGACACTAGAAATGGGCTTCACACATTGCCCCATGTCTGGAATCGAACCCAGGCCTTCGGCGTGACAAGCGAACGCTTTAACCACTAGGCTACCCCACCGCCCCTTGTATTATATTATATTAAACTATATTGTATTTTATTGTATGGTATTGTATTGTATTGTATGTTTTTGTAATGTACGTTAATTAAATCGCAATAACACCTGCATGCAACGTAAAACCTGTAACGTCACATATATTTTTTACGTTTGGATACAACGGACTAAAAGCAACTAGACAACTCGTCCATCTATGACTAATACATGTTGATGGAAGCCATGGTCATTATAGAAAAGCATTACACAGTGCTGTGACCATCCCGTCAATAGTGTGAGGTTTTACGTGTCTATAGTTCGGCTTCACGCTATGGCGGCCAGCCCCAGTCAAGACACTGTGGCCTCAACGTCACATTGTCCCCGCTACTTGCATTGGTTTCAAATACTCTGAACTTGAACTCGACGCTAACTCGACTTCTATCTGTCCTCAGTCCACCCCATACCTTTTCTCGAACACCCGTGCCATCACTACCGATAGTGATTCATAAACACATGCTCGTGATGCAGTCGGAATTGTACAATCGACTCTGTTTTCGGCAGAGATTTCTTTTGAGTGAGTGAGTTTGGTTTAACGCCGCTTTTAACATTATTCCAGTTATATCACGGCGTGTCAGCTTAATTTGGGAGGAAAGCCCGAAGTGATGCAGGTCTTAGACGTTTACCTCTTCGGTGAAACCCACGAGCACGGGAATGGTGCTTACAAACCTACAAACATAATCGGGGTGAACCGGGGTGAATTGGAAATTGAGAGTTGATATCTAATCACCCAAACTACCATGTCGCTGATATTATTATTTTTCATTTATATTTCTTTTGGGTTTAAATTTTCTTTTAAGATATACTATGAATGAGCCCAGAGAATCTCTTCAGTTTCAGCCTTAAACTAGAGAAATATAGACTTGCCAAACTGTTGTAGGCTTGCTTGGAATTTTCGGATATTTTATTGTTCAGGGTCTGTAGAGGAGGCTTCTAGTCCCCGCGTGTAAACTGATACTGGATCACCGTGATCAGCTGTTGATGTCGTAGCTGCCACAACGCCGCCGTATATACCCCCAACTAGCAATTGTTTAAAATGGTGATCGCTTTACCAGACAGAACACATATCCTGCGATCACCAATGCAGTGTAGTTACTATTGAACCAAAGCAGGCAAAACTACACTGCATTGTTCGTTTGATGAATGTGTGATGCCCCAAAAAGTTATCTTTGTTATAAAAAGTGAAAAATCTTTTTCTATCTTACTCTGAAAAAAGACGTGATGACTCATCGTGGCATCCTGTGTGTTAGCTCCGCAAGGTCCTAATGCTTACTTCGCCTTTTCTAATGAAGAGTTCTCCAGATCTACGCTATGTCCGTACCGTTGCCCGATCAGTATGACTTGCCGTTATTTTAGGAAACACTTTTCCCCCGTGAATGTGTTTTGGGTACAAACGTTTCAATTGGGACGCTGATGAATTTACTATTACGGTTAGTTCACTTGTAAGTGTGCATCACGGTGTTCAAACAAGGTTCATTTCATTACACACGCCTGTAACTAGTTGTGCTTCAAGTAGTATGCTAGTGAGTGTGCCAAACAGAGGGAGCGGTTCTTGAGTCATAACGTCATGTTGTCAATATTTTTTACTTTCTAATTCAGAGGAAAGTAGACATGCAACCCATATTATATGAATAAAGATTTAATTCGATAGTCATTGGGGAAAAGCAACAGTGGGTCTTTCAAAGTGTGTCGATGTTGTACTTCGGCAAAACTCTGTAAAAGTAATCAGCGCTGGCTGATATTCTCTGGTCAGGAATGCTGTGAATAAAAGCAAACACTGGTCTACATCTCACGTCGGTAGTAAAATTAGAACACGGTCACTGGCGAAGTACTAGAAACAAAACTCCACACGACAAAAATATTTTATTGCACCACAGAACTGAACGCTAAATTTGGTAAAGCTTGTTAATACACAACACGGGTCGATCTTCTCTTAATTTATTATCCCCATTTTAAAAATATTTCGGGTGGTTAAAATAATTACCTATATCAGGCTTCCTTGTGTACGGTTGCGTTTCGGGTGTTTTTCGTCTCGGTAGTCTAAACACAATAGTGTCTGATTCTTAACAAACCAGTTTATCTCTGTTTATATAATAGTGAATGAGTTAAGGGTGTAGCGCCGCATTGAACAGTATTCCAGTATTTATCACGGCGTGTCAGCTTAAGGGAGGAAAGCCAGAAGCGATGAAGGTCTCAGACTAGCCTGTCTTTCAGACCCTGATTCAAATATATCCAATACAGCCCATGCAAGTCTATAATGTTTGGCAAGTCTAGATTACCGCATTATCTGAAAATGAAGAGAGTCTCTGGGTTCCTTTTTATTATTTTTGTATTAAGATAATTTAACAACTGTTTTTTTCTGTACGATATGTTCATTTCAGAGACTAGATGTTAGTCTAGTCTGAGACGTGTAGGCCTCACTTTTGTGAAACCCACGAGCAAGGTATGGTGCTGACAGAACTAGAACCATGAAACACCATTGTTTCTGACCCATCTAAGGGACGCAGTTTTACACATCGAATTGACGATTTTAACCCACCACATTAGTGAGTACAAGGATGTCCGTCTGTTATAGTGAGTGAGTGAGTGAGTTGGGTTTAACGCCGCTTTAAAGAGTATTCCAGTTATATCAATGCGTGTCAGCTTATTGTGGGAGGAAAGCCCGAAGTGATGCAGGTCTCTGACGTTTACCACTTCGGTGAAACCCACGAGCACGGGTATGGTGCTGACAAACCTAGAAACATAATCGGGGCGAACCGGGATTCGAACCCACAATCATAGGTTTCTGGCGTACCCAAGGGACGCAACTCTGCACAGCGAATCGAGGCGCCTTAGACAACTGGGCCACCCGTGCCCCCACCGTCTGTTATAGCTTGACAATCTTTATACGGGCGTGATACAGGGTTGTCGTGCTTGTGTTCTCTGATCGCTTACATTCTCACATCCAGTTGACGTTGGGGAGCGGAAGGTCGATGGTTCGTGTCATATAAACCAATAGACGATTTAAGGTGGTACTTGTTGTTACCTTGTCTGGCGATCGACACAGGAGGACATAAAACAATGACTGGTTGGATAATCAGTATATATGTCTGGTTGACATATTCATGTAAGTCGTTGCTATATATATACGAGTGCAATAGTCTTGAACACGACGTTAAACGCCGTATCCTACCTCACGGTCAATTTAAGTTAGGGAACTAAGCATTGTAACAGGTTGAATATACAGTAAACAACGGTTATAACGAACTCAAAGGGACCCCTTATTTTAGTTCGCTATAACCGTAGTTCGTTATAAGCATATATATGCATATATACGACAAATGGACGGGACGGAAAAATAAGATCGTTATATCGGTCAGTTCGTTATAACCGTAGTTTACTGTAGTTGTATAGTTTTGCATTGGTTGTTATTAAGGGAAAGAACTGCGCGTGTGTGTGTGTGTGTGTGTGCGCGCGCGCGTGCGTGCGTATTGGTGTGTGTGTGTGGAGGGGGGGGGGGGGGGGGGGGGGGGTGCTGACGATGTATATCCCTGGTATACCCAAGTGTAACAGGACTCTGCAAGGACATTCAGTACATACTAGTAATTAAGTCTAAATGGTTAAACCTCCCCTGTAAATATTAAATGAATAACCCTTTTCGATTTCTGTGAGAGGTCTTGCTCATACGGATTAAATTTAGAAGCGGTGGGGTAGCCCAGTAGCTAAAATGTCCGCTCTTCACGCCCAAGGCCCGAGTTTGAGTCCCCACATGGGTACACTGTATGAAGACTCACTCACTCACTCACTCACTCACTCATAAACATTTAGGTTATACTCGTACCTGAGACCAAATAATTAGGAGATAAACATACTGTGTTTTCAATGTAGAGCTAGGTTACCTGTAGATTTAACCCCGCTAAATTGAATTTGGAACCGAACGCGCAGTGAGATTTCAAATGTTAAATTTAGCGGGGTTAAATCTACAGGTAACCTAGCTCTACATTGAAAACACAGTATGTTTATCTCCATTCTACCATGACTAAATAAAATGCGAACTCTTTGGTGTTAGCAAATATACTGAGTGAAGCGTCATGGGTTGAGTTCAGTGTTTTGAGTGCGTTATCGATCTGAATTACGGAATCACCGAAAAAGAAATATGGTGCTGTATATCCTCAAGCAGTTTGTTTATACCGTAATACTTCAATCGAACATATGACAGGCATTGAAAGCATATAAGCACGACAACTTGGTAAGCAAACATGAGGTGGGCATCCGTAAAAAAAACAAAGCAAGCTTTGCAAGGCTTTCGCTCTACATCGCACGTCACCTTTAT